GGTCATTCGGTATGACTTGTCAGACGGGTCCAACTCATGAGGCATCCTTCATAAAAAATTTTCCGATAACCGAGATTGCGGAGAAGCATGGCAGTTGTCAGTTAGGTGGAGCCTAGAGAGGTTGCCAACTTACTGGTGGTTACGTTCGGCTGCGCCTCAAGAAGCTTGAGTAAAGGGCCGTCATTCTGTGCTGGTGGCCGACCTATACATTGCCTACCTCCGAATTGAATAAGTCCAGCTCGGAAGCGCTGATGCAAAAGCTTCCCTCTGCCATGGCAAGCGACATCCTTCCTGAAGACAACGCAGGTGGTAGCTCCTCGACTAAGCCGGAGTGGCCCTACAGGAACTCATAATATGGGATAGGTCGAAAAGTACCTCGATCTCTGAGGGACTTTTAAGCTTTGAAAACTTCCACAAAGTCATGATATACCCATTTGCAGAAATCCCGGAGGACTTTTGTGATCTTTTCCTAGAACAACTCCATCAAAGCCCGCTGGCCAGGGCAAAAGAGCAGTTTGGTGACGACTGAACCACGCTCGAGTGCTTCGACTGTCATGAACTGGTGCATTATCCTGCATGAAAACGGGACTTTCTTGCTGATTTCTACGCCAGAAAGCAAGGAGACGTTCGTCGCATGACTTTTAGATGACGGAAGAAATCATTTCTTTTTTCATATAGCAGTTTCAGACGTTCCATTCATGCGATGGCAGCCCAGACCATGAGACCACATCCACTGAAGTTCCGCCCGGAAAAATGAAACTTGTCTTCCCTCAGAACGTGTAGCGGGATCGGTTTTCGTCGGAGCCGTCGCAGTTGAATTTTTCTCATCAGAAAACGACCGCGAGAAAAAAAAACTGAAAAAAAACACTACAGACAAGCAGTAGGGCACCGCAGCCAAAAGCCAACCTCACTCCATTGGGTTCGGCAACATCTTCGAGCAAAGCCAATTAGGTTTTCGCGATGGTTTTTCGTTAGAAACAGTACGTAACTCATAACTCATATTCCTCCTATGGGTGAACTCGGGAGTTTTCCAAGACACGCCTAACTGTACCCTTCGAGACATTAACCTGCGAAGGTGACTTAATTTCCCGACACGACACTGCAGGGTTGGATGCTTTCCTAAGGATACGGCTGTTATTCCGATCGGGCAGCAAAGGAGGATGTCCAGAGCTCTTCTCAGCTCAAGATCCTGTAGGTCCCTTGGAAAAAAATGTTGATAGCATGATTAGTGCGGCCCGAATCCCGCGCGATTCGACGGTTCGACTGTTTCTGAGTCTTCTTTGCGATAAACTGTCATTTTTCGAGGTCCATTGATGAAGTTCCACTTCATCAATGGATCCACTTGG